ACCAAAAGCTCGAACTGCCTGACAGGGGAACCTGTTGTCGAAGCGGCCCTGACCAGCTCCGAATGCTTGATGTGTTCGAACGCCTTCTGTAGATAGAGCAAAACGATCCCACGGTGGAAACTGCGTTTACGCGCCCACTCCGCAGACGCGGCCTGGGCCCAAACAAGCTTGTCCGAGCTGCGACCCTAGGTCGTCCACCAAAAGGGGCGGGTGAGCTTCCTGCCGCTGAGATACAACACCTCTGCGCAACCCACCCTGTAGGCGCGCCAGGATGTGGGCGAGGACGATGAGCCCGAGCCCGCACCCTCTTGGCCAACATCACGACCTTGGTTCAGATGGTGGGCCAGGAACAAGAACGCTCAACCTCCCCCAGGATATCCAGCACTGCCTTTAGGGCCTCGTTCGAGAGGGCTAAAAGCTGCCGCGGGCGGATTAGATCGAAGCTGCATCCCGAGGATCTCGGAAAGGAACGCACGACTTGCTTGAGCTCAGCCAGCGAAGGCCTAGGACACTCGGGACCCAGATCCTCCGGCCACTCCGGACTCCTCGTCGAAGGCTCCCGCCTTCACCACCCGGCCCACTCCACAGCCATCACTGGCGCCTCTTCTCGCAGGGGGGGGGGAGGAGGAGGAGGAGGAGGAGGAGGAGAGGAGGAGGAGGAGGCGGAGGAGGAGGAGAAGGAGGAGGAGGAGGAGGAGGAGGAGGAGGAGGAGGAGAGGAGAGGAGGAGGAGGAGGAGGAGAGGAGGAGGAGGAGGAGGAGGAGGAGGAGGAGGAGGAGGAGGAGGAGGAGGAGGAGGAGGAGGAGGAGGAGGAGGAGGAGGAGGAGGAGCAGGAGGAGGAGGGGGGCTGGCGCTCCCGAGGGAGTCGTGCCGCTGGAGTGCCGCGGGGTGTGCGGGGCCTGCCGCACGCGCTCACAGCAGCCCCCCGAGGTGAGGCGACGGACTCCCCGCCCGCTGCTTCCGATCCTTCCCCCGGCCGCGCTCCGCGGCCCCGCCTCCTCCCTGGCGGCCAAGGGTCAGGAGGGGAAAGAACACACAGACACAATTCATCGGCGATTCCCTAGAACATATGGGAAGATATGGGAAGTGGGGGGGAAGACAAAAGCCCAGAACATATAGGAAAATACGGGGAATCTTTTGATTTGTGTGTGTGTATTTGTGTGTCCCAGGGCCCCTCCTAAGGGCACGAGCGCCCCTGGCCAGCGAGGGGGGGGCCAGCGCGCAGGGCAGAGCCGTGGCACGCTGGAGCAGCGGCAGCCCAGGGGGCTTTCCGAGGCCCTGTGCCAACGTTGGAGGAGGCCACGTGCGAGCCCCGCCCCACCACCCCAGGAGTTCTAAAGTTTAAGGGGGGGAGGCGGGGTTCACTTCGCTCGGGGCCTCCCGAGCGAAGCGAGCCCAACCTCCCCCGGTCAGGAGTACTCCTGGGGTGGTGGGGCAGGGTTCGCCTGTGGCCTCCTGAGCCTTGGCCCTGGTGGCCCTCCGGGGAACCCGCCTGGCCAGCCGAGGAGTGCCGCAGCGAGTCTGTGGAGGCTGCCCAAACGCCGGGGGCCCGTCGAGGCACCTGGCCAGGAGGCGCCACCACCGTGCAACTGGACGGAGCCCGGGAGGAGGCACCTCTGGGAGCTCTGGGCCCCCCTCGCCGTGGAACGCGGGCCTTCGGATCTGCCGAGGTGCTCGCCGTCCGTCGCGCGAGGCCGCAGGCGTCGGCTCAATCGAGCTCGGCGCGGTCGAGCCACCGCTGCCGCGCACTGTCGAGGTCGAGGGTCAGCGGTTCAGCCCAGTACTCGAGCCACCGTTGCTCGGGGTCCGACCGTCGGCAGCGGCAGCCGGTGGGCACCTCGCTGGGAACTCTCCTGGGCACCCCTGGCGGATACATACCTCGCGTCCGTCACCTCCGCGGCCTCCAGCGTGAGCAGGACAGGGAAGTGGGGAGTGGTGCCGCCGTCGACCAGCACCTCAGCTTTGGCACCATGATTCGGCGGCGAGCGAGGGGGGGGGAATCGAGAAGAAGAAAGCCGTCCCAGAAGGCGGCGGGACTGCTCCGAAGCCCCCGCGCCTTCTGAAAGGTCTTATGTGTCTTCGGGGGAGGTTTGGAAAACTTCTCAGAAGGCCGGGGGACTTCCGAGCCTTCTGAGAAGGTCTTCTCCTTCTCACTTCCCCCCCCTCTCGCTGACAAACGGTCCGTCACCGCACCGTTTGCAATCCCCAGCAAACAGAGCGCCAGAGACGCGCCCACGAAGCGCTCGATCCTCGATCGGTCCCCCCCTAATTATCTCGGTCCCCCTCGGTCCGCGATCGTGTGGGGCTGTTCCTGCTTTTGGTCCCCTCCACGCGGCCGCGTGACCTGGGCCACGGCCGCATCCTCGATCCCAGGCCCCCCGCGCTCGCCGCCGAGTGATGCAGCGACCTTGAAGCGATGCACCTCCCTGCGCCGGCCGAGGTGCCGGTGCCCGCGGCCGTCGGCGGAGCCGTGCGCGCAGCACCCACGCCATCGACCCGCTACGACCCCTCCAGGGTCTCCAGCAGTACAGTTCAGTCGGGCCTGTCCCTCTACAGGAGGGATGTTCAAAAATAGTCAAACAATAGTCTGGGGACTATTTTTGAAGTATTTGTTGAGTACTTGAGGGTATTATCTAGATGTTTTTGGATTTTTCGCCCAAATCCGCCTGTAGGGGGACAGCCCCGACCTAGCAGTGCAGTGGGTGCGCGCACCAAGAAACCACATGGATTTCGCCAGGGGGCCCTGGGTTTCCTTGTTCCCAGCGATGCGCGGTGACTTGCCCCGATCGTCAAACAACTGCTGCCCTCAGGGTGCAATGGGTTTCCCCCCCCACTCGCACCTCGTGCATTTTTGCATCACTTCCCGGGAAGAAACTTTTTGGGCCAGGGCACCCTTGGTTTCTCCGATTGGAGTCCTTCGCTAAGAAACCCAGACCCTGGGCGCGAACATGTTGGATTTTCAGGTTCGGGATTCTTGCGGGGGGTTTCTTGCGTCCGCGTCCCCAGTGTAGCTGAAAGTCACCGCTCACGACACAGGGCGTGGCTATCTGCCTGAGAATCCGACCAACAGCATTGAGACTCCTCCAACTGTTTGGAGACAGCTCTTCACCGTGATGGGAGTAGATCGATGAGAGAATGCGAAGCCCTACTGGGACCAAACCGCTGAAATGCACGATCCTTGCCCTGCCTTCGGAACTGACCGGATGCACCAACTCAACGTGGGAAATACCGCTGGCCTCTGGGACCTGCTGGTGACCGACGCTGGTGGAAAGGTAGACATTCACCCAACTTCGCGCAATATGGTTTCCTAAGAGACACAATCTTGCCTCAGCAAACGATGCTCCTGAACAGCAGCCGCTGGGGACTTCTGCACTCCCGAATGTTTGAGCAGCGCCTGGAGCCCTACTTTACTACCTGAACTGTTACATGTGACCACTTGGAGATAGTTACCACCCACCTGACGGTCAACTAGGCGAGGCGGCCGAACTTGCGATGCGAGCCTTCTTTCTGGCTGCCTCCAGCAGCGCTCCGAAGACCCCCGCGACAACCTCGTGCTTGACGGACTCCATGGTCTGTGGCAATGCGCTTCGTGAACTCAGATGCGCCACCCTCATCTTGGCCGGTGGGGACGGCCTGCTGGGCAACCCCTGACAGCCGCTCATGATCTGCGTCATCAGCTCTTGCCTTGACGACGGCGCCGTCGGCGGCCGCGGCAGCTTGCGGTGAAGCGCTGCCTGCTCCTCCCGGTTCGCGTGCCGCCGCCGCGCCTGCTGCCTTTGCAAGGCCGGCAGCGGGGTCGCCACCGCGCTCTTCAGCATCGCGCACGGGAGCATCAAGAGGAGCAGCAGGCTCCGACTTGGGAAGAGGCCCTGCAGCTGCGGGATGAGGTTCTGCAGCTGCCTCGTCGATGCCCTGGAGCTGGTCGTCGCCCCCGAGGCCCAGCACCAAGGCGGGGAGCCGAGAGGCGGGGTCGGAGACGGGAGTGGTGGCGGTCTCGTCGCTTTTGCGGTCCGCGCTGCCGCCTCCTTACAAGTCGCCGTGACGTCGTCAAAGTCTGCTTGCGCCTTGGCTGCCGCCGCAGCAGCCTTGGCCGCCGCATCCTGCGCCATGCCATACTGCGGCTGAGCCTTCGCCACCTTACCCTGCAACCATGTTCTGCTCGATCCTGGCGGACTTGGCCGACGCCTGGGGCTCTGCATCGAGGAAAGACTTGTGCGCCACGACCTTGGCCACCTGCTTCTGTGGTGAGTCCGCCGAGAACCCCTCGAAGTCGGTGGCGTCGAGCTCGGCATGGATGGCCAGGGTCGCGTCGTCGAGAAGGGCAGGCCCCTCGACCTGCATGGGCGGCCCCTTGGAGCCAGGCACCCAGATTCCGCTCCTGGCGCCGGGGCCGGGGTGTGTCTCCACACTGGCGCCCGCATACAGTATGGGCGCGCATCAAGAAACCGTATACTTTTCGTCCGGTAATTCTGTGTTTCTTCGCTCCGCGCGTTGCGCGGCGACTTCGCGCGGCCGTTAAAGGAGCTGCTGCGTTCAGAGCTCCAGGTTTCCTCTCCTGTGCACTTCGCGCGCGGGTTTTCAGGGTTGGGGTTCTTGCGGCCGCGGCCGCACTGTACCCGACACATTTCGCCCCCCTCCCCCCCCAACATGTAGCTTGAACGATGTCCACACTTCTTATGCTTGCACCCCTCCTCTCGTTCGGTGGCAAATCATGGGAGCCTGGTGCACCCCGTTAATTCCGCCTTTGGCGTCGATTGGCGTCGATCAGCGTCTGGATTCGATGAGATAGCGCCGATTTAGCGTCGGTTAGCGTCGATTTGCGTCGATTTAGCGTCGATTAGCGTCGATTCAGCGTCGATTAGCGTCGATTCAGCGTCGATCAGCGTCGATTCGCAAGAGCCGATAAGATGGTATGGGAGGCTCCATGAGTTGCCACCGAACTCTTGACATCCTCCTCCCCTCACGATCCTCCTCTCGACCTCCTCTTCCTCCCCGGTGAGGTGAAGGGCAGCCTCTCTTCGCTGGCCACCGACATCGGGCTGCCCCCGGACCGCAGGCCGTCGTGGCCGCCGCCGCCGCAGGTCGCAGGCCGCCGCCGCCGCCGCCGCCGCCGCCGCCGTCGTCGTCGTCGTCGTCGTCGTCGTCGTCGCCGTCGTCGTCGTCATCGCCAGGGGAAGGATGAGGGAGGAGCGGGGAGCGGGGAGGGAAGGTGAGGACTGCGCGGTAGTGGCAGGAGAGCAGCGAGGATGGAGCAGCCAGCACAGAAGCGAGACACCCCGTTTTGTAGAGCATGCATCTCCATCTAGCTGATACGCGCCAAAACAAGTGTCCAGCGGAAGCCCTGTTTTCACAAGGGCTTGCCCTCCATCCGTGTAAGGGCTGCAATGCTTGATGGTTATGGTCATACAATTTGAGGGCGTCTCTGGCAAGAGCCCCACGATGAACAAAAACCACTCTTCATCGGCGTAGCTGCTCCAAAACATTGGCACCCTCGGGTCATACCACTGGAGGAAGCCTCATGTGATTATGTCATGTTGTATGCGAGCCGACCTTCATCCTGGTAACCATTGTAGCATTTTGAAACGGAGGTTCGCGGCGCTGAGGCGAGAGCCGCACATTGAAAACCACTGGTTCTCTATCCTCGTAGCTGTTGGAAGCTTGAGAACGGCGCATGTGCGCGTGGCGCCAATGCGAGAACCAGATTCGGAAAACCGCCGCCCCATCCATGCAACTTTTGGAGCCTTCGAGCTTCATGATGGACGCTGTTAGGGAAGATCCAAGCGAAAAACACTGCCCTACGAACACGTCTAGTGCCGCGACAGGAGAGGAGTCATCCATAAGGAAGCGGGGTTGATGGCGACGACGATGAGGATGATGATGGCGACGGTGATGGTGCTTGCGATGATGATGCTGATGATGTTGATGATGCTGATGATGATGCTACTGGTGATGGTGATGGTGACGGTGATGGTGGTGATGGTTCATGATGATGCTGATGCTGATGGTGCTGATGATGGTGATGGTGATGGTGATGGTGCTGCTGCTGCTGATGATGATGATGATGATGATGATGATGATGAGGATGATGATGATAAGGATCATGAGGATGCTGGTGAGATGAGGATGATGATAATGATGCTCAAGCTGATGATGCTGTTGATGATGAGGCTGACGATTATGACAATTACGATGACGACGATGAGGATGACGAGGATGCTGATGCTGCTGCTGATGATGATGATGTCTGATTGTGATGATGAAGATGATGATGAGAGGAGTAATGCTGGTGATTCTGGTAATGATGATGCTGACGATACTGATGACAGTGATTACGACGAACTGGTGATGACGATACTGATGATTGTGGCGATGCTGATTATGATGGTGTTGATACATAATGTGATGATGATGAGGATGATGATGGTGATGATGCTGATGCTGATGATGATGCTGCTGATGATGAGGATGATGCTGATGACGACATGATAATGATGCTAATGATCATGCTGCTCTTGATGATGATAAGCTGCTGATGATGCTGATGATGCTGATGATGATGCTGATGCTGATGATGCTTCTGCTGCTGCTGCTGCTGCTGCTGATGATGATGATGATGATGATGATGATGATGATGATGATGATGATGATGAGAGGATGGTGACGATGCTGATGCCGTTTGATGCTGATGATGCTGCTTCTGCTGCTGCTGCTGATCATGATGATGATGAAGAGGAGGAGGAGGAGAAGGAGGAGGAGCGATACGACGCAATCTGGATCCCGTTCTTCTCCATCCTCCCGTTGTATCGTCGTTGCATTGTCGATGCGGCACGATCATCCGACCTCGTCCACTGGGATCCTATTTTGGAGGACTCAAGGTGCGTGGGCGTCAGGGCTTCTAAGACGCCCTCTGCCTTCTCAGAAGGCTGCCCCCGTCGCCCCGCCCCCGACCAGAAATCCGGGAAATCGTGGTCGTCGTCGTCGCCGTCGGCGACGACTGCGACGACGACGGCGATGCTGACAGGTGTGGCTCCGTTCCCCGCAGGGCCACCCCAACCTCCCCCTGCCAGAGGGTTCCAAAGGGGGTTTTTGGGGAGGGTTTTTCCAGAGAGCCCCCCTGGGGGCCTCGGAGCCTCGTCAAAACGGGGGGGGCGAAGCCCCTGGGGGACCCCTCCTGGAAAACCTGCCTCCCCAGAAGCCCCCTTTGGAACCCTCCGGCCCTGGATCCTCATCCCCCTGGATCCTCACCCCGCGCCCTCGGCGGAGCCCCGCCGCCCTGGCCGAGGGCGCCCTCGGCGGAGCGCGCCCTCCGCCGCCGCGGCCGCCGGCCGGGCGGCGCGCCTGCCGGCAGCCTGGGTCCGCCCGCTGGCAGCAGCCCGCCCGCGCCGCGCGGGCGGCGCCGCACGACCGAGTGCCCGCGGACGCCGCGGTCCTTCCCCAGAACTGACCGCGTCGCGAGGAAATCAGGGCGGCAAGGTTTTCCCACTTTCCGCCCCCTGGCGGCCCTCGCCGGGCCCCCGGACCGTCAAGAGACGACGCAGGATGCAGAACCGGCCCCGCGCAAAGGGTCTGCACTTCTGGGGACGCCGTCCTGAAAACATCAGAACGTCGCATGTCTGGGTCCGGATCCCCCCAACCTCCCCCGGGATCCCCATCCCCCTGGATTCTCGGGGGTGTCCGCTGTTCCGCCGTTTTGGGCTGCTGCGCAGTCGGCTGCATTCGGTTGGTTCCGTCTGGTCGGTTGCTGCGCTGCTATGTCCTCAGTAGGCAACTTTCTGTCCGTCGGCTTCCGTCGGCGCCGGCCGGTTTCGGTTTTGACTTCGGTCCGGTCGGTCCTTGCTGTCGATGTGGACGTCCATGGTCCTCCTCCTCGATCGTCTTCCTCCTGCTCGATCGTCTTCCTCCTGCTCGTCCTCCTCCTCGATCGTCTTCCTCCTCCTCCTCCTCGATCGTCTTCCTCGGCCCTCCTGCTCGGTGAGGCTTCGGGTCGCTCGCAGACAGCCCTCCCAGGCAGCCCTGGCGGGCGTTCCGCAGGCCCCTCGAGCAGCTCTTGGGGGGGCAGGCTCGGCACCTCCGCCCCGGGGCGCGGAGCGCCACCGGGGCACCGCTCGAGGCGGCGCCGGGGCGTCGCGGCCGCCCTGGGCTGCTCGGGGGGCCTCCGGAGGCCAGCCAGAGGACTGCCGTGGGGGGCCGTCTGCGCGCAGCCCGGAGGCTCTCACCGCTCGTGCCGGATCGCCGCGGGGCCACCACGAGCGTGCACCTCCTGAGGATGCCCTCGCCGCCCTGGATCCCAGAGTCGCCGTGGACGTCCATGGTCCTCCTCCCAGATCCTCCTCCTCGATCCTCCTCCTGGATCCCCGCAGGGCCATCACGGGCGTGGACCTCCTCAAGATGCTCTCGCCGCCTTTGATCCCGGCCGGTATCGCCGTGGACGTCCATGATAGTGCTCCCAGATCCTCCTCCTCGATCCTCCTCCTATTTGGACGCCCGCAATGGGTACGGGAAAAATGGGTACGATGCTCAACAACAAATGTTGTCCAAAACCGACAGCGGCCGCTGTTGGGCAGGCGAATTTTATTTCTCAAATGGACAACGACCGCGGCGACGCCGACAGCGAATCCTGGTCAGATGAACAAGAATTGCTGTTGGACTTTGCACCTCTTGTTTCCGTACCCGTTTCGGTCCCCCTGATCCTGGATCCCCGCCACCACCAGCGTGCACCTCAAGATGGCCTCGCCGTCTCCGACTCCAGAATCGCTGGACGTCCATGACCCTCCTCCTCGATCCTTCCTGGATCCCCGCAGGGCCACCACGAGCGTGTACCTCCTCAAGATGAGGCTCAAGCGGTCCATCGGTGCCAGGCTGAAGGTGCACAGCGGCCCCGCCTCCCGTTGCCCGCGCCCCCTTGGCACGGGCGGGCGCCAGCGGCGCCGGCTGCGACGTCGGCGGCGGCGACGACGTCACCGCGAAAGGAAGTGGGAGATAATGGGAAGATGATGCTGATGATGATGATTCTGATGATGATGCTGCTGATGATGATGCTGCTGATGATGCTGCTGCTAATGATGGTGATGCTGCTGACGATGATGAGGAGGAGGATGAGGAGGAGGAGGAGGAGGAGGATGAGGAGGAGGAGGAGGCGGCACACGGGGTGTCCTCGATTCCCCCGCCTTCCCCCTGGGACCATCAGCATTGCCTCTTGGGGCCCAAACGGGGTTGGGGCGCTCTTGGCCGCTCTTGCGGCAGGCTGGGGGGGGCCTCTTGGGCCCCTCTTCGGGCTGTCTTGGGCCATCTTGAGACAATTTTGAGGCAATCTTGAGGCCCCACCCGCGCATCGGAAGCGCAACGGCGAGAAGGCAACGCTCAGTATTTTTCCTCAGGTGGTTGAAGGAGTTTGGCCTCATGGGGGTTCCTGAGGGAGCTGCGCGAGCACCTGGAACCGCCTTGTGGGCCTCGTCGGGCCTCTTGGAGGTATGTCGGACGCTATCTTGAACCATCTTCGGCTGCCATGAGCCGCCTTGGATGCCATGTTGGGGCATCGAATACCCTCTCGGAATCATCTTGGGCGAGGAGGGACGCGCAGCCACCTTGCCCCCCAACAAAAAACGATGCTGACGACGATGCTGATGATGCTGAGGAAAATGATGATGATGATGATGATGATGATGATGATGATGATGATGATGATGATGATGATGATGATGATGATGAATGATGATGATG